CTGCCGCCCCGCACCCCGCCTGAGCCCCGCACCCCGCGCACTGCCTCTGCCACCTGCACACTGCCTCTGCTGCCCCGCACCCTGCTTGAGCCCCACACACTGCCCCTGCTACCTTGCGCCCCAGCCGCCTGAGTCCCCAAGCCCACGCACCGCCCCTGCCACCCTGCACCCTGCTTGAGCCCCACACACCGCCCCTGCTGCCCCGCGCCCTGCCTGCCTGAGTCCCCAAGCCCACGCACCGCCCCTGCCACCCTGCACCCCCCTGCCTGAGCCCCCTGAGCTCAGGTATCCTGTCCTACCTGCTCTGGGCCGGGACCTTCCTCCACCCCATGACCCCACACCCGCCCCGTGGCTCTCGCCTGGCAGCCCCATGTCAGCACTGGGGACATGCACAGACGGCTGTGGGGCACGTGGAGCAGAGACAGTGCCTGACCCTGACTCGGTAGCGCCAGGCCCACGCCCCAGCACCCACCGCTGACCTGCTCCCATCGTGTAACCTCCTGTTCTCTAATGGCAGCCAGTGATGCACTACAGTGTCGTGTAACGTAACACACTAATACCATCAATGTACTATACTGTGCCATACCATGCTGTTGTTCAGCCTTTGCAAGCGAAAATGACCACATCCAGCAGGAGGGGGTTGGGGGAGAAGAGGGAAAGATAAAGGGAGGGAGAAAAGAGAAAGGCAGGGAGAGGAGAAAGAAAAGAGACAAGAAGAGAGCGGGGGGTGGAGGACCGGATGCGAGAGATCCTTGTTTTTCTGGCCACACGCTTCCTCCCTGCCTTTGCCGTGCGCCGCTGCTCGAAGGCCAGGGCTCCGCGCCCAACCGGTGACCTTGCCAATGGACAGCCACATGCTAGTCTAGAAACAACGCAATCCAATGTCTTGTAGAACAGTATAATATATATATTATATTATACTGTACAATACATTGTATTGCATTGTATCCATTACAATGATCAAATATCAGTTCATATTGATCAATGTAATATAAGACAATATAGTATAGTGGATACAACACAGTTCAGTACAATACAATGCAACATAATGTAAGGCAATGACATGCATGTGGTTGATGGAGCAGTACGACTTGCAGAACACGATCGATGCAATAGAGTCGATATAGAAGACGGCACGGTAGAAGAAGAACAGGATGGACAAGATGCAACAAAGTTGGTCCATTTCACGCGTTAGAACCGAGCAGTTGCAGCGCAATCGATATCTAATACAATCAATATACAGCACAACCAGTACATATTGCAATCAGTACATAATATCATACGATACACTCTAACACACCAAGCGTAGTGTGACTGGCTGTGATTGCTCTACTACAGTTCGTTACGGCACAACAGTTGCAGAGCGATCCAAGTCCAACAGAAGATAAGAGACCGCGAGAGGATTATTCTGTACCATATCATGTAATGTTATCGTAAACTGGGAAATGGGGCTGAGGCAGCCCAGCACCGGGGGGCTTCCCAACCGAGGTGTGGCTGTGGTGTACCAGAGGCAAGCAGTACTGCCACGGCAATGAGCCATGAGGAGCTCAGAAGTGCGGGCGCGGGGGCACCGCCAGAGAACGTTAAAATGTGGGCGTGAGCCAGGCGGGAAATGGCTGGGCACCACCACGACGGATGCAGCACCAGCAGGAAGGCTGACAGCATGTTCAGGTTATTGAGCAGGGAACCGTGAACCAAATGAAGCCCCGTGAATCCCCTTTATGGCCCCACACCGGGTGTACGGCCCCCAGGGCGGGGACGGAGGCAGGGAGGGCAACGGGAGGATGCTGAGCTGAGCTTTGAGGCGAGCCAATGAGGCTGGGCTGTCCAGGCTAGGGGAGGGGCTGGGGGGCAGGAGGAGGGCTGTCTGCCTGCTGTGGGCAAAGACAGAGCCCATTGGGATTAATCCCCACGATGGGACAGGCTATAGCATGCTGTGATGTGTCCCATGCCAGGCACCACGCTAAGACTGGCACAGCACAGAACAGCACCGTGACGGACAGGCCATGGCATCACCTGTGACAGGCCGAGTCCTGGGCCCGTGGCTGCACGTGGCCAAGCTGCACTGCGCCTCGGCGCCAGGGGCAGTGCTGGGAAGGCTGCGGCAGTGCTAGCGTGCGCTCTAGCCTTGGCAGAGCACGGGGGCCTGCAGGGCACACACAGCGCAGAGCTAACACGGGTGCACAGAGACCAGGCCGTGCCATGCAGCAGTGAGGGGGACAGCGGGTGACGAGCCTGCACAAAGGTAATGAAGCTGCGACTGAGATGCAGGAGACGCACTAATTACCGTGCATCCAAGGCGTGAAAACCATTCATGAGTCAGCAACTTCTATCCCCGCTTGTGTCCCCCCAGAGCCAGCTGCCCCATGGCCTGCGTCTCCCCACAGCCGGCAGGTCTCTGAGCCCTGCCTGGGCCCAGCGAGAGGGTGGGCAGATGTGAGGCTGTGGTGGAGCTGAGGGGCTGGTGACTGACAGGGGCCCACAGGTACCAGGGCAGCAGGGGGACATCTGGGGGTGCCCCACAGCCCTGGCATGCTGCTCTGGTTGGGGGGTGCTATGGGGGGGCAGCACCCCTGCCCCATCTGTGGCCAGGTTGCCAGCCTGTGCCCAGTGCTACTCATGGGCAGGCATGGGGCAGGGCCCCATGGCCCCCCGGTCTTCAGCAGCCGCTTGTCTTTGCCCGACCCTAGGCGGGAGGCACAGCCCCACGATGCAGCACCAGGCACTGGCCCCTGCTAGGCCTTGGGGGCACCAGGCCCAGGCTTTGGGCCTAGCTGTTGCCTCAGGGATGGCTGGATCGCAGGTCCTGGGGGGACCTGGGTCTTCCTGTACCGCCGAGGGGTGCCGTTGCGGTCTCCAGGCCTTCATGGAGGGCAGCCACTTCTGCAGTGCAGCCTGCTGGGTGCTCCTGGGTTCGCTCCCAGGGTGGAGGATGTGATGTGGTCTACGCCCCCGCAACCCCACAGAGCACCTGACAGCCCCCACGTGCTTTTTGTGGGAACCTGCGTCACCCCAGCATGGCCGGGCCCTCGCCCTTCGCGCCTGGCACCCGAGCACCAGGGGCAGGATCGGAGCACCGAAGGACTGGCGCCCCCGGGGGAATGGAGGAGGACCGAGCCCAGGCTTTCCCACAGTTCTTTATTCCAATAATTTAATAGAAAATGAAACTGGAAACCAACGGGAAATTAAAAAAAAAAAAGAAGTGAAACAAAGCAAAAACCAAAACCCCCAAAATTGTTACAAATAAATTATACAAAAAAGAGGGGAACGGAGAGCGGCAGTGCAGGGGGCGGGGCGGGTCAGATTTTAGGATCCCTCTGCTCTATTTTAGAAAGGGGGGGAGGGACAGGGGTGGCTGGGGTACCATAGTGTTTTTTTTTTGGGGGGGGGGGTAAGTGGAACATACCATGTTCTGTTTCAAGGAGCAGGGAAAACAGAAGGGCAACTGGGGCTGTAGTATAGTGTTTTTTGTGGGGAGGAAGTAGAACATACCATGTTGTAAGAGGCAGGGTGCTTTGGAGCCCCCCCATACACAGCCCACGCCCCTCCTGTAAGTGGGAGGGGGCATCCCAGCCTGGCCTGCAGTGCGGGGGGCATTGGCCC